TGTGGATCAGGAATCTGAGAGTGACTTAGCTGGGTGAAGGTCCAATTGATCCATTAGGCACAGTATGTAATTGTAGTACAATTTTCTTCTTATAATGAGTGAGATGCATACTTTCTTTCCTCCTTTTCTTTTCTTTCTTTCATTTTTCTTTTTTAATGGAAGAAAGGGCCCATGAAGACAAAAGTGCCTCGGGCCCACAAAAATCATATAATACAGCCCTTACTGAATGGTTCTCACTGAGAGTCTCTCGTGAGGTTTCAGTCAAGCTGTCAGCTGGGGACACAGTCATCAGAAGGTTCCGCTGTGGGAGGATCCACTTCCGTGTTCACTCAGGTAGTTGCTGGCAGGTCTCAGCTCCTCTCTGGCTGTTGGCTGAGGCCTCAGTTCTTCACCACATGGGCCTCTCCATGGCTGCCTGAGTGTCGTCACAGCACAGCAGATGGTTTCTCCCAGAGCAAGTGGAGAAAGAAAGAGAGAGAGACAGAGAGAGAGAGACAGAGAGAGGAAAACCAAGGTGGAAGCCTCAGTGTCTTTATAACCTAATCTTGGAAGTGACATACCATCACTTCTGCCATATTCTATTGGTCAAACTAATGAAAGCTGAGGTAATGTAGAAGGTGTGTGAATACCAGGAGGCAGGGATCATTGGGGGTCGTCTGAGAGGCTGGCTACCACAAGAACTATTCTTAATAGTTAGGAACTAGCAACTATCCAAATGCCTATCAACAGTAGAAAGAATAAATTTTGGTGTATTCGTACAATGGAATTCTACATAGCAATGAGAATGAACCATTTACAACTACATGCAACAACATGGATGTACCTCACAGAAACAATATTGCACAGAAGAAGCCAGGCACAAAGAGTACACACCATCTGATTCCATTCACGTAGAGTTAAAAAGCAGGCAGGACTACTCTATGTATTAGAGGGGAGGATAGTGGTTCCCCCTGGAAAGATAGTGACTTGAAGTGGATCCAAGAGGGGCTTTTGGGGGCTGGCGATGTTTGGTTTCTTAATCTGGGTTTTGGTTCCACAGGTTTGTTTAGGAAATTCATTGAGCTGTACACTTTTCTCTATGTACATTATACTTTAAAAAGAGTTTTTTGAAAGTAAGTGTTAGAATAACTTTACCATCTCCCTTTCCTAAAGAGACATTCTGGAAATGATATCAGTTATGGCTAAGCACAAATCTGGTATAACTTTGGTATCCAGTCGGCATATTGGTCCTGGCTCTAGGCCTCACTTGCTGTGAGACCTTGATTGAACAAATCATTTACTCTCTCTGAGCTGTAGTTTGCTCCTCTGCAGAGCTGGGTGGACCCTTGCACCGCTAGCCTCAAAGTGTGGTGGAGAATATCGGGTCATATCAGGTACCGTGGAGTACTGTTGTTCACAAGATTAAGTACTAAAGTCAGGGAGTCATGTAAAAATCAAGCACAAACAAATTAGCCCTGAAAATTCCTTAGATAAGCCTTAAATCACTAGGATGCCCTTGGAAGCTCAAAAGCCAGGCACCAGGAATTTAGTTCTTTTGTTTCTCTTTAGATTTCTGCCCTGGTCTTCCTTTCTGTGGGGCAGCCTAGAACAAGATTGGCTTGAATGGCAGTGGGAATAACAAAGGGATTTCTCGCTCTGCTGATCTCGTTTTTGTTGAGGGCACCTAATTGAATTTCCGTATTAAATATACTTTTACAATGACTCCAAGGTATGTGAAAGCACTGAAAATTATAACAATGTTAAAGAAATGTAAGTTATGATTCATCTTTGGAACAGGTGCTTTTGTCAGATTATTTTGGGTCTCGACAGCCTTTGTGGATAATGTCAAGGTTAAACAAAGTGACTGATTAAAGCCCTTTAGCTAAAACAGGGGGCTGCTTGATGCTCAATAGCATGTTGGGACAATATGCAGAGAAAGAAGCTGAAATCAACATTAGATATTATTATAAATAGTAATCTTGCAATTGTGTAGTACTTTATAGTTTACAAAATCTAAATCGTTTCTTAAAAATTAACGTTATTTTAAAGATGCAGCTTAACTTGTCAAGATCACCTGACTAGTTTAACAGCAGAGCTGGGATTCATAACCATATCTGCCAAGTTCAAAACCGTAATATTTCTCAGGAGACCAGGATCTCTCCCTCTCTCTCATTCTCTCAGGGGTGGTGGTGGTGCAAAGAGGTTGGTTTGAGGAGTTGTGATCTGGCTCTCCTGGGCTCATCCTCTGGCCTCAGCCGTCTGCCCGATGCACCTGACCTTGACTGCCTTCTCTAGACAGGACTCCCAGATTAACCGAGACAGTGAGGTGGCAAGAGCAGAGTTACCTGAGTTGCTGTGGTTCTCAACTGGGCAGAGACCTGCTGCACAGGATGAGCTTAAAAATTGTTCCTGTGCATTCTAGGATGTGGGGATTTAGGGAAAACCTGCCAGGTGATACAGCTGGTTTCTGACGCTCTGGGATGGGGCCAAGTTGTCTTTTTAATACATATATACCTGCATCATGCTTATGCATGCATTTAACTTCTGCTTATCACTATATAATAAAACCATCTGTAAAGACAAACCTTGCCCAATAAAGACATATGTTATGAGACATTGTAATATAACTCAAGTCTGGGTTTATTCTCCTCATGGGAGTTGGGATTCACAGTGCTTAAGGGCTATCTCGGTGCCTTAACAGCTTTGAAGGGATATACCCTTTAATGTGACTGAAGGTTTCCTAGACAGGGCAAGTCCTTCCTGTACTTACTAGAAGAATCCAGAAATAGCCATTGTGAAGCGGCTCTGGGAGGAGGGTAGGCTGGGTTCAATGAAGAGTATCCTCTGACTCCTCACATCTAAGAGAGAGATTGTTATCTCCAGATATGATCCCATTTCAGTCATTACCATTTAATCATTCCATAGTGTTTCTTTTGGGACTCAGGTAGCAGCATGAGGCCCCCTGGTGGCCTGAAATAATTCATGAGTTTACTTTTCAAGCATTTTGAAGGGCAGGTGTGGCTGGAGAAGTAGAAGGGTCATAAATACTCACCTAGACCTGGAGCTTACAGTAGGGGCAGGGAGGCGTGGGATGACCTGTTTTGGAAGAATCGAAAACTAAAGTATTTTCTTTCAAGAAATTAAAATAAATGGACTGTCATTCTGGATAAACCACTCACTTTCTGATTTTTCATTCTTTAGTTCATTTAGCAAACACTTATTGAGTACCTACTCTGTGTAAGACATTTTATTAGGCATCACAAAGGTAAAAAAAGGTAAAAAGGTAATCACAAAAGTAAAAGAAAAATGAGACACATTACGCACTTCTAAGGAGCTTTGGAAGAAGATAAAAACATTTCTGCCACCAACATGGTAGAAAATGAAAAGGTGCCAAGAGAGAATAAGGAGCAGTTACTTGCAGATAAAAGGGAAGGCTTCGAGGAAGAGATCATTTAAGTTGGGGCTCTAATAATGAGAAGCAGGATTTGGATATATTGAGTTGGAGAGGGACAGGATGGCATTAGGAAGGAGGGAAAACAGAAGTATGTACATACGTTGAGGCAGGGAATCTAATGTCTGATCCGGGAACTGTGAATCGTCTGGTCTGGCTAACTCATGAGTTTTCGGGTTGGTGGGAGAGGGAAAGCTGGATACATCTGTTTGGATCAGACCATGGAGGACCTTGAACACTTGCCTGAGAAATTTCTTCATTAAGCCATGAGGAGCCTTTGAAGATCTTTGAGCAGAAAAGAGACATGTCAAACCACAGACTCCCTCCCATTGAAATAAACACAATGCCACGCACTTGCATTTCGTCCAGCGGAGTGTTGATCTCCATGTGTTTAAGATAATTGTGGTGTGCTCTACCATAATCAACAACTCCAGAATTTCACCATTTGACCTGTAAAGTCCAGAGACACTAAGCCATCAAGGCATCTGCCCTTAACAAAACTACTTGAGCACCAGGAAGCAGTCAGTGCCAGAGGGCTCCTGCCATATTGAATTCAATTCCTTGATAGAATGCCTTTCATGGAAAGTGCTATGCTAGGCTTGTTTTGTTTTTCTTTGCTTTAGAAGGTTTAGAAAGGCTTCATGCCTAACTATCTTCCCACTCTAGTTCAATGTGGTTTAACGGATCAGGGATATTTCTGGCTGGAGTTACAGGGCAGAGTCCTAGCTGTGTGTAGAATAGCTCAATATCCACAGAATTTGAGCAGTAATCTTACTTGCATTGTATCAGAACTAACTCAGTTAAGCCACCTGAGCATATAGCTGGTGCTCAAAAATATGTTAAGCAAATATTTAACAACCGATTCAATAAATATCTAACACACATTCAACACGTTATAAAATTCCTGACCCTACACATTGATATCCTAACTGGAATGGCATAGAACTCTTTTAGAATATAGTAAACAATTAATATTATTCTTCAGAAGTCACAAAAGAAATGATGTGATAAAAAATAAAACTCCTGGGCCAGCCAGGTGGCGCAAGTGGTTGGGTGCGTGCGCTCCGCTTCGGCGGCCTGGGGATTCGCAGGTTCGGATCCCGGTCATGCACCGACGCACCGCTTGTCAAGCGATGCTGTGGCGGCTTCCCATGTAAGGCAGAGGAAGATGGGCACAGAGGTTAGCTGAGGGCAAATCTTCCTCAGCAAAAAAGAGGAGGATCGGCATCACATGTTAGCTCAGGGCTGGTCTCCCTCACAAAAAAAATAAAAATAAAAAATAAAACTCTTCTAGTTAAGTTAAGAAGAAGCAACATGCCCGTTTGAAAGCAACACAATAGAGTTGTAGCCAATGAGGGAAGACTGGCAATTTGGAAGTGCAATAAAGATAACTACAACAGAAACAACCTTTTAAGAAGTTTCAGCAGCAATGAGTATTTATTATTTCTAATGAAATGTACATTAAACTTTTATATAAAAATCATCAAAAGTGCTATATTGGATTATTTTAATATTAATTTAACCCCCCCATGTCATCTAGTAGCTACACCTTTTCCCTGTTTTTCTTTTCCTTCTGACACATCATTACAATCATCTAAAACTGTCCAACGTTAAAACATAAAAAATATTAGTTTATTCTTCAAGAAAAAGTACCACCAGTGATGAGTTACTGAAAGTGAAAAAACAGTGCCAGAGAATCAACTTATTGGAAAAAAATTATCACAGAATTTCATAGAAGTATGCAAAGTCCAAGGCCATTTAGATTCTCGGCAGGACATTTTTATGATACAACATCTTAAAAGCATGAGTTATTCCTTTTGGAAGCAGGTCGATGGTGTGCCAGAACTGTCTGATTATTTTCTCCTCTTTTCTTGGCTACTTTCCAAGGTGAACCAAATGTTGTCTGATGCTGTGCACCTCCCATGACCCCTAAAATGTTTAATGTAGAGAAAAGGCTGATTTTTCAGTCTTAAAATAGCCCTTAGAGTTAAGTTTGTCATTGAAGAAGACACAAGTCGTTCCTCACAAAAAAGAACCCCCTCCACCCTCCCACCCTCAAGCCACCCCCATTCCTCTAGTCCGCTGCAGGGCCAAGTCCATTCTCTCCCACCCATTCAGGGTGCATTGGCTGACAGAGTGAGAGCAGCTATTTCAGGCCACATATCCCATTTGGTCTCATTCAGTCCTAAGCAAATAAGCTTCTCTGATTTGCCACGAGAGCCGTCTGACTCTCCCGTCTCTTGGCTTTCTTGCTCCTCTGTCTCATCTTCCAGCACAAGGCACTGGAGGCTAACAAAAAAAGTCCCGATGAAAGAAGGACCAGACCTAAGATGGAGATGATGGAGCCGTGGGAATTGAAGCTGTAAGCCACAGCAGTGACCACGATCCCGGCGATGAGGACCACCACGGCGAAGGGGATGATGCAGCGGTAACAGGAGAGCTCGGCACCCCCCGTAGCTGCCGTCAGCTGAATCTCACTGACCAGGGGAACCAAGGTGACTATGACTTCGTTGTTGGGGCTCTTCTCCATTGTCACTGGCTTGGGAGACTTTGGGGCTCCCAGGATCTCCTTTATGGGCTCTTCAGTCATTTTTACAGCAGCGTCTCCTAGCTGAGTTCACAGACTAGACCTGGGGAGTCTTACCACGGTGGAAACTGTGGAGGAGAAGACAGGAGATGTCAGCTAAATGCATCAGAGTGAGCGGGGGAAACACCACTGTGGTCTTTTCTAGGAGGCATGGATGCGTGTGAAAATCAACTGTAATTTTTTTTCTAATTGTATTTCTAATTCTCTTTGTATTGGGCAAAAAGCAAGATAAAGCAGATAACCATAAAGAAAGGGACAATATAAAAAGCAGGAAGCACTTTACAGTGTTTAATATACCCTGGTGGTCTACAAATGTTTTACAAGCCTTTCTGTTTTGTCTATTGCTTCTTTTTGCTCTAAACACACAGAAAAGCCTCAATCCTAATCCAAAGACAGCCTCATTCAAGAGGAGAATACATTATAAACAATACTTTGAACAGTTTGTTCCACAACTCATAGCAACTTAGACTCTGCCAATGTTTCCGGGCATAACATGCATTCTTTCCAAACTATCACCCATTCACTGCCCACCAAATCAATGTCAGACCAGCAGCCATTGTACGAATGATGGTCTTCCATATCAACTTGACAGTCAACAAGGCTTTATTGTGTTAACTATTGAACACAGCCTAACATGTGTCCTGGGACCACGCTGGGGATGCAGTTCAGCAAAAATTCAGTGACACTAAGGCTAGGATTTGTGACCTAAAATGTGGCAATATCCTCCAATCTGTTTGAAAAAGGAAAAATAAAAAAAATTCAACAATTTTGTAGGATATAATTTTGTGCTTCCTTACATTAAAGATAAGATCAACTATTAGAGTAATTAGTTTTTAATTCATAAATTTTCCTTTAAACTCAACAAAGAATTTTGCCATTCCATGCACCATGACATGCTTAAAAAAATAAGCATGCTAGATTTTCAGTTAAGTTTCACAAGTTCATTTTTTCTCACGCACGTGTGTACAAAACTTGCCGCCAGTCACCTAAGTATTTTGAAACTGAACATTTCAGGACAAAATCTGACACTGTCAATCAAAAGCATCTGGTTGAAATACTGTCTATGAGAAATCAGTGAATACTCTTGCCTGCTGCTCAGACATGTTAAGTCATTCTCTTTCGTCTTCAAGAAGCAATCTAGCTGCTAAAGAGTTGAGTAGTTAAGTTATTAAAAGCATTCCAAGGAAGATACTTGAGACCATTTCAATGAGATTAATACTTTGAACATACTAAGCATCCATCGAAAACAAATTCAACCCCAGATCAAACTTCACAGGTTCTTCCCTGTCCTGGGAGGTCAAAATATCCCTCCCTGGGCAATAAAGCTAAATACTAGAGCTGCCTATTTGCATGTAATTTTGTCACCAAATTAAGCACTGTTGTCCAATGATACCCTAAATACTGGCTAGGCTAGTAAAAGGACATTTGAGACTATGTCTGAAAGAAAAAAGTCTTCGCTCCAAAACCGAGATTTAAGCTAACCTGAAAATGAAGCTCTGTCCCCAAACTACTTACGCGTACCTCCCAGAGAAGCAATCCATTACCAGGGAAACCACTCGACTTGGGAGGGAAGAAACAGCAACGCTTGAGCTTCTTCGGTCAGCTTCTGGGAAGAGAGCCTGTAACAGCACGTCTGTCGATAAAATGACAGGACAGGGCTCTCCCCTGGGGAAAAGAAAAGATGTAAAAATACTGTACTCTATGGCTGACTTTAGATCCTGGAGCTCTTTCTTCCACCCTACCTCTGTTCCTAAATGACGCCTGTCTTTCCCTCTCTCTCTTTTTATTTCCTCCCCCTCCGGATTGCCCCTCCCTGCCACTTTTTTTTTCCTCTCCGTTCTTTTCCTTGCCAGCAGATTCCGACTTTTGGCTTCCCCCAACTCTGCTCAGTGACATGATAAGTCAGAATCATTCTAGAGTCCCCAGAGACAGAAGCCAGTTTTTACTTTTATTTCTCTTGCAGCGTGTACTCAGTAGACTGCTTCACATTACTCATTTTTTCCCCAGCCAACCTCCAGATCTTCCTCCCGCCCATCAGGCATTTTCATAAGAAAATCCCCGAGTCAGCGCTGCAGACCCAGCTGAGGGGACAGAGCCGGAGGGACAGACGCTTTAGGGCGGCGGGAACAGCTGTGAAGTCATCAGGCAGCTGAATTCAGCCTGTCAGCCAGCAAAAATCCATGTTCCTAGGTTTCTCCGGGATTCTTTATTTATACGTGTGTGCTGGCCATCCGAAGCTTAAATCCTCCTTGTTTGACGTTAATTCATTTAGGAACCAGGATGCGAGACACAAATGTTGTGGTTAAGGGAGGAAACCTGTCATCTGGATTTAAACACGATTACTTACTACTTGGGAGGTAACTTTGGCAATGCTGAAATTATCATCATCATCATCATCATCGCTGTCATTTACAGAGCACCTACTATGGGCATGGCACATGCAATGTGCATGCATTGACATTAATTCTCACTAGCTTATAAATGAGTTTATAAATAGTTTACAAATGAGCCTCTGAGAGGTTTAGTAATCTGGCAAAGGTCACACAGAAAGAGAGAAACTCTTGTTTTGAACCCCAGTCTTTATGGGCACATAAATCATGTGGGGAGCTTGTTCAATGCTAATTCTGATTCAGTAGGTCTGTAACAAGCTCCTGGCTGATGCCAATCTACCGCTCCTTGGCCCACTGTAATGAGCAAGGTATTTTAAACATTCAAAGATATATGGCTTGACACGTCTCGCCCTCAAACAATAAAATTAAAGGTCTATTTCCCACTCCCACCCTGCAAATGGCTTTATAGTTTTCTACTTTCTAATAGACAAGCTATTTGAAATTTTAAAGCGCCAGATTGTCTTTTTGAGGCCAAAAGTGAGATAATACTGTGTAACTATTATATGCCCGTCCCTATACTTCTGTAGCTAAAAGTTACCCGTCCTCTATTTTTTAATCTATACAAGTTTTAATAACTTCTTTTTAATCAACACAGCCAATCTACAAATCTAAATTAAATCTCGGAGGAAACTGGTTTTCCTTCTCTCTCTCTCTGGTCGTTAGATTTCTCTAAGCGCTAACAGGGGGCCTGGGTGTCTTCTGGCATCTCGCCTCTGTTCCAGGACAGCCCACTCTTTCCAGCCTCATCTAGGAACAACACCTTGACGATTTTGTCATAAAAGCAGAAGGAACAGATGTTCTTTTCTCTAGAATGGAAGCCAGAGAGAGGGCTTCTTCATTTTAAAAAATAAAGTTGAGAAGTCCCTGAGGCCTGGCTGAGTTGGGGGAACCCAGCGTGCTGAGGTCGGTGAGTACCTGGAAGGCCTGGGTGCCACCATCCTCAAGCTTTTTAAAATGTGGAGCCTAAAGGGACAGAGTCATCAATCAGGAGCGCTGCCCCTTGGCGTTAAAGATAAGGGATCCTTAGAACCAGGGCATTTCAGCCCTCGCCAACCCTGCCCTGGGAAGATGGTGATATCGAGGGCTACTGGCTACATATACTGGAGGCTCTTGAGCTCCTTCAAAGAGCAACAGTCCTGCCACCTGTGAACTGGGGCCTTTGCCAGGCAATTCCTCTCTAGTTCCTAGCACAGGCTGCTTTCTCTCCCAAATAGTCCAATAACCCCACTGAAACTCTGAATGTCACCTGATCCTGTTGAAGATCATGTTGCCCCATTACCAAAGTCAAAAGTGCAGGAATCGAACTTGTTCCAGAGAGAAGCCAGGGGCAACTTTTCTCCATGACGAGAGCCCCTGGCTGAGTCTATAATGAGGGACAGCGAGAGTATCTGTGTGCTGGGAGCGTGCGTGGGCAGGTCTGTCATTATTTTTCCTAATACCAAAGCCTTCTTCCGGCTTCAGGTGTTGCATTCACCCTAATTCTTCTTCAGAGGGTCTGCATCTGCCTACATACACAGATGCACATCTCTAGACTCTAAGTAGACCACTGATGATTTGTATTGATAAACACAAAGAAGTAGAAAGCTTGGGGACAAAGCGGAAATTGTATCTGAAGAATAGAGACCTATCATTATACCCACCCACACATGCAATTTTAACTGACTTTTACCTCTTCAGATTGAAATTCAAAGAGAATTCCTAGTAATCAATGCCTGATGTCTTTGAATGTTTTTTCCTTCTTCCACTCTCTGCCTATAAGATATTAAACACCCCTAGGAATTCCTTAAGGGACACCTGCCCCCAAATGCAAATCTCATCCACAATGCGATCAGCCTTCTTTCTGCAAGCCTTCTTTCTGAAGGGAAGGGAAATCTTTCTGGTTTGTTTTAAAACGCATGGCTCCACGAGATTCCTTTAAGTTTGGAGAACTTTTCAGAAAGCTTCCAATGCACGAATTAATCTATACCCCGTTTCCCCATCCCTCCGTAGGAATTCAGCATTTCTCTCTTGGATCTTTCAAAAAGCAAGGCAAAGATTCTTACCTTTCCCAGCCAGAATCCGACTGAGACAGCTGCCAGCCCCGGCTAACAGCAACCCAGAAAGGGGGATGCAAATCACCGCACTAGGGACCGTAAACAAAGTTCGCCACAAGGCTTAAACACAATTTAGGGACCGGAGAAAAATTGGTGAGACGAAATCCCTTAAATGCTGCTGTATTTTGTCCTACGTTTCTATCAGAATGTAATCCACATTTTTAAAAAGGGAACCAAGTTTGAAAAGAATGTTCTCCTTTGTTTTTCTCTCCTTACATCCTCATTCAGGCTTTCATTTTCAAGATTTTCCCTGTCCAAAGCCCCATCCTGATACTAGCCCTCTGTAATACTGTGAACCTGCAGAAAAGATGTTTAATCCTTGTTCTATGCTTCTAAGCGGGTGTGGAGTTTGGAAAGTGTGTGGGGGTAGGGAGTGGCACGGTAAACTAATCTCTTTCGCTGTTAACAGGCAAGTAATAAAAGGAGTAAAGGAAGAGAAGGATTGATGGTGAAAATGGCATTTGGTGCTTGTGTGGACCCTCTCCTTAAAGTCAGAGGAGTTATCTTATCAGCGCTCTTCATCAGAGGATGGCAAGACACCATGGAAATGATGGTGGACTGGAAAACCACATCTCTGATGAACTGAGGCAACCCTTCACCAAAGGCATCATAAACAGCAGAGCTAGGAGCACTTGTTGTTCCAGAGAGAATTCCCCCAAATTTGGAAAATCTCATTTTACTTAGAAGCAAGACCAGAAACAAAGTTACTTAGGTGAGGGATACAGAAGTACAGGAAGGCGGGGGAGACGGTAAATGCTATGATAAAGAGAAGATTTTGCCTATTTCCCTCCAATAGAAGCCAAGGGTTCAGGCTCTAGGTTGGAAAGGGGGACATTTTGATTTTGCCATTGAGCATATGCTGTTGAAGACCTGGAAATTTCTCCTTTGGGAACACACAAATTTTGCATTTGTGAAGAGCACCCCCATGTGCATTCAATTACTCACCCGTATTTACTTTCAGTCTGCTTTTGCTTGGTGTGGTTGAGTTGGCTAATTTCCAGCAGCCCTGAAGATGCCAGGTCCTCCCGGCCCTCAGTGCAACCACCACATGCCTTTGATCTTGGTCATCATCCTGTCTGATTGGATTCAGTGAGATTCGGGAAGCAGGCCAATTTTTCTCCTCTCCAGCGCTTCTTTTAAGGGTGTATCTGCATTTATGTTCTGAAATCATGGACATTTTGGAAAGTGATCTGAGCTTGTGTGTTCATTTTGGATAACAGGTCATATTATTATTGCTTCCCCTAGGCACTTGTCTTTGAGGTCTAAGATCTGCTGGTACCCAGAGGAACGATGGATTATACATTAAACGTAAATATATATTTTACTATTTGCTGGTCAATTTCCAGGTACCAGAACTCATGTGGATATAGAAAGGAAAACATACATCTTTTAGATACACATCCTGGTCACCATTCTCTTACTCAGTTTGTTCTGAATAACTATGAAAGATCACATAAACATAAAAAAACAGAGCCACTGAAATCAAATGACACAGTGGGACCTTAGGGAGGGCTGAGTAAATCATCTCTCGCTTCAACGAGGACTATTGTCACTCCAACCTCGGATGAGAAGAATTGATTTTCTTGTTTTAAAATCCAAATATATGCTGAAACTGCTATGATCCTGATACATCCCCATGTTCCTTGCATAATTCTTTATATTTGTGTATATCATTCTTTGAAGGCCTAAGATGAGAAAGCTCAAAGATAAGGAGTTATAGCAAATTGGGCTGACATTTTCCCAAAACAGGTGTGTAGCACTCAGGTCAGCCTCCTCTAATGGGCTGTGGGTCCTGTATTCAGGGGCTTGTAGGAAGCCCACCATACTTGCCTTTTTCCAGGGAAGGAAAAATAGCGACCTCACGCTTTGCCACTCTTCTTGATACCTGATCATATGGGGGCCTACTATGCCCTTTTTACACACGCAATCTCTGTCTGGCCTCTGGTGACAAATGTCAGTCTTCCTGTCCATAAAATGATGTGCACATGGGGTGACTCCAATCCACTCTTGGCACATAATGTCTAGGCTTCAGCATCAATCTGGTGCTGGGGATTTGAAACCACGCTGCTATATGTAAAATTTTCTAAAAACCAACAATCTGTGACATCCTGTAAGGGTCAGTTAGCTTTTCTTTGTTCCATGTTCATAGAGCAGAATACACCTTCTGATCTGATTAGCCACCTCCCCCTGTTGTAACGCTGGTCTTAGAATGACTTGCATGGATGGGCGCATCCGTGCTGACCCTCCCCCAAACAATGAAAAATACAGTCGAAACCACAGATTTTAAGCTCTGTGCTTGGGTGAGAGGAATGTCGAGTCTACTTTCATGAGTAGTTTTTATCTCCATTTTTCAAAGAAAGAAATAGAGGGGCAGAGAAAATCACTCTTCCCAGGTTTAACTCCAGGGCCTGGCTGGGCTCCCTCATTCTAGTTGACCCACATGACATGCTCTGTTTGATGAGGAAAGGAGCACATTAACACTTCTGAAGCTTCTAATACGCACTACCTGTAATGCAGACCTTATTTCAGGTATTTGCATTCTCATTTTACTGTTGAAGAAACTAAAACTCAGTGGGGTTAAGTACTTGCCTGGGATCTACTACTAGGGAAAGAGGCAAAGCCGCGACTCAAGTCTGGGTGCCTCTTCTCCTATATTGTGTTATGAGGACTTGGTTGCTTATTATTATTTATAAGATTTATTAGATTGTGTGTACATCCTAACTTTAGCCTAAGTCTCATTTTCTTGGGTTCAGACTGCATACTCTCACTAGGTTTAGTTTTGGAAAAGCTCTCTGAAAAAGGGTACCTATTGCTTCTAGAATGATTAACTCATGTGTGTTGCGTCATATGCATCTGGGTATTGAAATGGAGGTGTGTTACCAAGCAGATTTGGATGAGTTTGAGACGTAAGCCTGGTACCAGTGGAGTCTGTGAAAGATGCTATGGCAGTAGGACATTTCAGAAGTTACCAAGAGGCCATTCCTCTGCTTTCAGGAGCATTTAAGTTCCACTGATGTTTACTGTACTCCTTTTGGGTGCCAGGAACTTACTCAATGCTCTATCTGAGCGGATACAAACCAGTAAACAAAGCAAGGTCTCTGCTCTCAGGGAGCTTCCAGTCCGGGACAGGAAAGCCACGGGGTAATCTTTTTGCTTGAGAGAATAACAGACTGCTCTGGGAGGCCCAAAGAAGATTAAATCAGCCTGGTCTAGGTGGAAGGGAAAGCTTCATGGCAGACAGGCATTTTGCAGTATAAGCAGTGAAGGAGAGAAGGTGATTCTAGGTGGAAGGAACAGTCTCTATAAACATAGCTCAGAAAAGTGCAGGTCTTCTGCAGAGAGCTTAGAGTAGCCCGTGTGGCTGAATTTAGAGAGCCTGGAGCAGGTAGAGAGCAGTCAAAATAAGATTGGAAATGGTTTATGGTGAGCTGATTGCCTCTAAGTCAAGTTTGGACTGTATTTTGAGAGCAATGTGGTTTTCGAGCAGGATGGCATAGTCAGCTCTGTGCATTATCAAAAGTTCCCTGGCATTAAAGAACGTTGGGATGCACTGTGGAAGGTCAAAAGGGGGATGGTGGAAAGTAACTGGGACACCAGTTAGGAAACCTGTGTGATTGTCCAGTGAGAGGCGCTGGGGGCCTGATATTGGGAAATGTGTGCAGGTGGGAAGTCCCTACAATGGGTAGAATCAGCAAAACTTGGCAGTGGATTTCATGTGGGGTTGGTTATCAAGGGAGAGGGGTTTGTAAGATTTTAAAGCTGAGGTAATTAACAGCTTGGTGATACTGTCAGCAGAAATACAGGGCCAGGGCAAGGAGCAGATATGGGGTGGAAGTTATGCACTTAATTTTGTTCGCCTATCTATGCTAAGCTATCCACATCTCCAGTGGAGAGGAAAATGCTAGAGAAAGTGGCGTTACTGCCTGCCTCCTAATTTGTGAAGCATTGTCTGAGTTGCCAAAAAATGCTGTCATGGGCTCACAGATGAGTTTTCCGCTAAAATTATGAATGTACAGAAACATACACATAGACTTGCTGACACACATACATTTTACACACATGATTTGAGATTGCTAACTTTTTGCAAAAAACAAGAAAATAAATATTTTAACAATTCCAATTTGAGCCTTTAATTGTGCTGACCAAATGCAAAGAATACATTGATTCAATTTTAAAGTTCAATTTTGAACTCCTTGAAAACGAGAATGTACCTATGCAACTGTTTTTGTACAGTATCTATCATGAAGAAAGCACCCCATAGACATTTTCTGGAAATGAAAATGTTTTCTCCTCCATTGATCTCTACTCCAGGGTACTACTTACCTAGATGAGTATATATAGAAAATTCCATTCTCCCCATTTCACATGTGGAGAACAGTCTTTGGCTTACCAAGAACTAACTTTATGTTGCCCCATAAGTCAATGCTTAAAAAAAAATCAGTCCAAGTTCACTATGGGTTTCTTTAGAATTGTCATGTTTTGGGAGTCCTGCAATATAAGCAAGCCTTTTTATTGGGGTTTACCAAGATCATGTTGACTGGAAAATCTCCCATAAGTTCCTAAAGTATAGTATCAGCAATTATACGTACTCAGAAAGTCTTTGCCAAATAAATAAAAGTGTGACTCTACATTGTAATAAGATATAAACTTGAAAATTCAGATCATTATTCAAATGGATTATTTCAGTGTCCAGATATTTTGTGTTAAGTACATTAATTATTCAGTTATAGCTGAATAATTATTCAATTATTACCGGCATTTTTTTAGTATTCTTTGGATGGTGGGTATTATATAGATCCAGCCACCGGCTCCATTAATAATAAACATAAATACTTATTGGGCACTTACTTATGTTATACACCTTTTATAGACTTATTATTTCTTTTAATATTCACAAATAATCCAAGAGGTCCGTGCCAGATGAAGATTAACCAATGAAGAGGTGAAGGGACTTGCCTTGGAAAGTCACCATTTGGAAAATGGTGGAGTCCAGGACTAGAACCAAAACCTGTTTGACTCCAAAGTTTACCCTCCTGATCCCTGTGCAATATTGTTTCTGTGTTCAGATGATGTGCACACTTTCTGTTGCTCATGAAGAGTCTATGCTCCCTCCAAAATAAA